AGAAGAATATTCTCTGGAAAGCCTTTGATATTTCCCAATATAAATAAAGCAGGTTCAGGGCTCCCTTATGGCATAGTATAGAAGCTCCATCTGTCTGATTGGCTTGCCTGTCCTGCCCCCGCTTTTGAAATTCTTTTCTGTGTCCTGTGACTTTTTCGCCATTCTATTTTTCTTTTTATTTCTTTTATTTCTCAGCCAGCCCATTCCACTGAGGGGAACTCCACTTCCATTACCTGTGCAGGACGCAGGGGAGAATCTTACATTTGTCTGTACCTAAGGAATCATAACATGCCAGAAATTTTAGTTTTAAAGTGATTTTTAAATATTTCAGATTCATAAATTATCTTCTTGAAGCAAACAAATGATAGCCTATTTCAAAATAATTAAAGCTAGAGAAGCAAATCCTCTGTAATAGTTTTACTTCCTGTATATGGTTCAATAATTCTTGATTTGAAATTATTTTAATAAAGTTGTATTAAATCTACTAAGGAATCAAGGTTCATAGGATGAAAAAAATGCAAGCTTTGTATTCCTTCAATTGTAAAAAATAGAACTGCAACTTAAATGTGAATTCTAATTTGGAACATTAGTAATTAGCTAATTTTACTGTTTTGTAATTCTTTCATTCATGAATTGCTATGAGAGCTGAAGAACATTACAACCCAGTAGGAAATGAAAAGAACGATGTCAGCTAAGGTTAGTCATAGAGGATGGCTTTCATTTTAATCTTGCTTTGGTTTCATAGAAATTTAAATCCATTCAATCAAAAATACTTCCAAATGTCACTTCTTCTAGGAGAAAGATTTAGTCATTTAGTGAGTTACTTTTCTGATCCTCATTGCTATGTTTTATTTGCCTCTTAATTGAAAATCAGTTATATGGACACAGAGTATGATTTCTATGTCAAGGGTGTAGAGTCCTGAGGATACTGGTTAAGAAGGACCCATGTAAGTGACAGTTTTCCTTCTCCTGCTATACCCTTAAAAGATATGTAAAAGTTATTGGTCAAATGCATATGCAATGTCTTGATTTAATTTCAAAAACCCTGTTTTCACCCCCATGCAGTATACTGATGTATAGTCAAAACTGTGGTAACAGACACATGGAAATTTATCATCCATTTGTTTTTTGTTACTTTAACTTTCCCAGATCAATATTTGATTTAAGTCAATATATAGATTATAATTTGAGAAATAATCAATGAAATGGTATCTATTACAGGAAATATTAAAATTTCGTTTTTGAAAATAAAATTAAAATTGTGAAAACTAAATTTTCTTGGAAACTGAAATCATCCACAGTCTTTACAGTTTTCATCCATAAATCCATTATAGTAGGAAATAACAAATTTACTTCCATTTTGATGGTTATACTGCTGGTTATGGAAAATTTAATGTTGATCACCCCTTTCTTTCATCTCTGGTTAAAACTAGCATTGTTACACAAGGCTGAAGAATTGCAGAAGCTGTCATTTTACTTTCAAGTCATTTATACCTGTAGGTTTCTGTGGAGATACCTGTCCTTCCATCTGAGCTTGGACAGAATGAGTGATGGTGCTTCTCATTTCCATAAATTTCATTTAAAATTTGGGAGATCTTTTCACATATTTCTATCTCTCCTTAGATGACTGGGACCTATTAGGTGCCTCTGCCCTTAGCCCTGGAGCATGGACACCCCTGAGACTATTTGGTGTCTCTATCTGCCTTACACCCCCAATCCAAATAATGTATATGACTTATTCACAAAAAATATATGCAAACCAGAAAAGTAGTCTTGAAAAGGTACTTCAAATGAAGATATTCAAAAATAAAGTATGTAAAAATATGATCAATATTGTAAATATCATAAATTGACAGTGAAATTCGACTATGTATTTTGTCTAACACATTTTGAAAAATGACAAAGGTGTTCTGTATATAAAGCAATTACATCTCTAAAGAGATGAAATATAAGTTGGTTAATATCATTTGTAAACATTTGGATAATATGATTTGTGTAAAATTATATGATAAAACATGACCCTGTAGTTTTTACTTATATATCTATCCATATATCCTCCCCCACATGCACATAAGAGTAACCAAGTTTATATTATTCATAACTTTCCACCAAGTGTATGATTGATAATCAAAAGTGGTACATTTATGAACTGGAAGATTATAGATCAATAGTTTTTAAAGCAGTGTCTCTAGGCCATGGGCATCAATACTGACAGGAATTTGTTAGAACTGCAAATTCTTATTTAGAGAATCAAATAAGAATTTATTTAAAAAATCATCAGGGAAGTTTTGATGTATGTTTAGGTTGAGAAGCACTGATTTATATGCAAAAATAAAATAAAACAAAGCAAATATATGAAAAACTGCTATCCTATGCTAAACCAAGAGTAATACTGTGGTTAGACATTGATGGAGAGTATAAGGGAACTCCTGCTGTAGTTTTCTATTAGGATGCTGATTACCAGGTGTCTACTTTGACAAAATCCATAAACATGTACGTAGAATTTGATAATTTATACTTATATACATCATTATAATAAAATAGTGTAAAATATAGTATACTCAAATGCTAACTCAGTTCTTTTAATGACATATGTCCGATAATATGTGATTATTTTCTTTCTTAAATTGTGCGCTATCCTTCTACATGCAGAATAAAATTTACTTATTTATTTTGGGGGGAAAGTAAGTAGTACTTATTTTAAGAAAATATATCTGTCTCATCCACAGCCCAATTGTTCCATGGCATGAGGGTAGGTTGTAGATCTGCCAAAGAAAGTGCCCAGAGAGAGCATGGGAGACATGGTTTGTTAGGGAAAGCATAGAAAAAAATTAGATAATTCTCCACAAGAGTTTAATAGTGACAGGCTGAACAGATAGCATCTCAGCCCCTCACAGTGCTTTGCCAAGCAGTGCCTCCTCTCCCTCACAGCATTTTGTCCAGTAGCAGCGGCTGGATGCGTAACACATATCCTTTCCACACTTTCCTCCCTTTTGATCCTGCTCCACTCAGAGAGGGTTTCATATGTTCAGCTGCAGAAACAGTAACATTGTGAACATTGATTTGATAAGTTTGATTGCCTGACAGCATCCCAAGGAGGAACTAACTGTCCTGCCTTATGTGCAAGAAGGTAGCTTTCTACAGACAACACTAACTTGCCTGGTTCCCAATGTGCATAAGAGAAAGCCAGTGTCCTTTAAGATAATATGTATTTGGACTTTCTGGTCCAGAATTGCTCTTATTGTTCCCTTAATTTGGCTACGTTTTGGGGAAGAAAAAGAGGGAATTCAAGGACATGCTGTTTTACTTGTCTCTTGATTTTTTTAATGATGATAAAATATCCAACCAATCATTAGACTTTGTGCACTTGTTTGTATGTCAGACTTTAATAACTTGAAAAATAATTAAAATTGTCCCTTTTCAGTCATTCATGTCAGTACTGTTTATTTGAGCTTTATTTGTTCGACACCAGCATCTGGTAGGCATTTTACATATGTTGCTTTATTAAATTTTGCTATGAAATGGGTAGTATTCCTATTCTTGAGATAAAAGTACTGAGGTTTAGAAAAACTCAAAGTACTAAATGGCAAAACTAGGAATAGGAAATTCTTTTCCGTTTCAAGTTCATATTTCTAATGTAACTTGTGGCCACATTGTAACAGAAAAAAATTGATACTTTCCTTTTTTGCACAAAATTAATTATTATATCTTTACAGAATGAGATGATGAGAGAGGCAAAGGAAGCTGATGATGCTATGAATAGCATTATTCACTGTGGATTAGCCCATATTACAGATATTGTCAGGACTAAGAGGAATTTTAATAGTCATCTAATTTAAGATGAAGTGAATTTCCATTGAAATCACCCCTTGAATTGGCACCTTGGTTTCTAATAAGTGAATCTTTTTTAATTTTTTTTTAATTAACAAAACTCTTCTTATATTAAAGGCCAAATACTGTACAATTATATTAAAATTTTTATAAATATGAATATTTTGTGTCTTATACCCAGTAGGTTCATTTCTCCCTTTTGTAGTCCTATAGGATCATTCACATTACATCACATCAACTATTTAAAGAAAGCTATTGTTGTTCCTTATATCTACTCTCATTGTTTCTTCTAAGTTTTTTTTAATATTACTGATATTTGAGTCACATAATCATCCTGATCAGGTCCTTGTGAATGCTCAGAGGCAATATTTTAACAATTATGATTATAAAATTTGGAAATGAAATTATACTTGGGTATGCAAAGTAGTTGTTATCAGAATTATAGGAGATAATCCAAAATGACCAATGCTAGAGTCTTAAAGAGATTTCCTGAAGCTAATGTGTACACATTTCCAAGCTCTGTGAAATAGAGAAAGTTATGACCTACTTAATTCATAACTTCCTTCCTCTGCAAATGGGATGTATGGATTTAGTAAGATAATATTATGAAAATAAGAACGCTTGCCAGGCCTGATGGTAAATACCTATAATCCCAGCAATTCCAGAAGCTGAGAAGTGAGGTTTGCAAGTTTGAAGCCAGGCTGTACAACTTAGAAAAACCTTCAGCAACTCAACAACAACCTGTCTCAAAAAAAAAAAAAAAAAATACACACACACACACGTACATATATATATACACACACACATATATATATGAGAAATGGACTGGGGATGTAGCTCAGTGGTAAATGTTCCTGTATTCCAACCCCAAAATCAGAATAAGCAAACAAAGAAAAAGAAGAAGAAGGAGAAGGTTGAGGAGGAAGAGGAGGAGAGGAGGAGGAGAAGAAGAAAACTGAACACATATTAGCTCCATTCCTTCTTTTCACAGTTTTCAAAAAGAACCCTAAAATGCAGGACAAACTTCTTATTCAAATGGCACACATCAACATCAATATCATCATTATTATCATCATTATCATCATCAAAAGCAGTTGATGGGCACAATATCTTCCCCCTCTCTTCTTTGGCACTGCCTACAAAGGTGGCCACCATCCATATCCAGCATCATGGCTGCCCTCAGACCTCACATGAAGCCCAAAATCATCAAAAAGAGTACCAAGAAGTTCATTGGGCACCAGTCAGACCAATATGTCAAAATTAAGCTCAACTGGTGGAAACCCAGAGGTATTAACAACAGGGTGCAGAGAATATTCAAAGGCCAGATTTTGATGCCCAACTTTGGTTATGAGAAAAACAAGAAAACAAAGCACATGCTGCCTGGTGGCTTCCGGAATTTCCTGGTCCACAATATCAAGGAGCTGGAAGTGCTGCTCATGTGCAACAAATCTTACTATGCTGACATTGCTCACAATGTTTCCTCCAATAACTGCAAAGCCATCATTGAAAGGGCAGCCAAACTGGCCATCAGAGTCACCAATCCCAATGCCAGGCGGAGCAATGAAGAAAATGAGTGGACAGTTCACACGCACATTTTTTGTGTGCTTAAATAAAAGCACAAAAACTGCAAAAAAAAAAAAAAAAAAAAAAAGATGTACCAAGCATGGGGGTGCACACCTATAATCCCAGCATCCCAGCTCCTCTGGAGGCTAAAGCAAAATAATCATAAGTTTAAGGCTAGCCTGGAAACTTAGCCAGACCATATCACAATATAAAATAAGCAAAAGGACTAGGCATTTAGCTCAGTGGGAGAGTACTTGCCTATCTTGTGAAGCCCTGGATTCACCCCCTCTGTATTGTAAATAACAAAACAACAACAATAAAAAATTAAGTATACTCACTGTGTGCAAGTGTGCAAGACACTTTCTCAGTCCTTCACCTTTTATCTCATTTAATTTATTTTTTGCATTCATCTCATGGTGAATTATGTTTATTAACCCCATTTTACACATGAGAAAAGTAAGGCACAGAAAAGTTACTAGTTGATATACTCATTTATACAGCTAATGATGAGGTACCATAGTAGAGTATAACTCTAAGAACCTTGTGGTTAAAAGAAAGTTCTGTTTTATTTTCTTCATTATCTATACTTTTGAATAAACATGATTGAGTTATCTGTCTTATTGAACAACCAACAATAAAAATTTTAAAAAAGATAATTCACCATAATCCAAGCACAAATATATTCAAATAAATATGCATAGATACAATCTATTATTCCATAGAGCTCACATCCTACAGATGAGAGTGATATTAATGTAGGTGAACCATCAGGAGGAGATAATTGTAGTATGCTGTGATAAGTTTTACACAATAGTGGAAAACTCATAGAAAGAGTTAATGGTGAAGGGTCAGGAAGCAAAATCTTTCTAGAATGTTAAACAGCAAATGTGAATACCCAGAATCTAGGAGATCAAATTTTTATTTTAGACAATGTGTAATTATTTAGGAGTAATAAGAACATGAAGTAGAAAATGGGCCCTCAAGTATGGTGAGTCTGAATGGTTATTAGAAGACAAATCTAGACATGTGTATGAGTTTGGGTCTTTATGCTAAAAGTGATGCAGATCTTCTAAAGGTTATTCATCATGGGAATAATGTTTGAGGTTCAATAATATCTTTCAAGTAGTGTTGTATAGATTGATGTTGAGGGATAATGGGAAAACTGATGTTGAATATAAGAATTAGAAATAATTAGAAGGACTGGGGATGTGGCTCAAGCGGGAACGTGCTCGCCTGGCATGCGCAGGGTGCTGCGTTTGATCCTCAGCACCACATAAAAATAAAATAAAGATGTTGTGTCCACCAAAAACTAAAAAATAAATATTAAAAAATTATCTCTCTCTTTCTTCTCTCTCTCTTTAAAAAAAGAAATAATTAGAAATACGTGGAAATTGTATTCATTTTTAAAAAGATGGTAAAAGCTAGTAAGACAAGAACAGATTTGAAACATTAACATGAGTGAAACAATAAGCAAACTAGATAAATCTGTGTTGTGTGTGTGTGTGTGTGACAATTAAAACAACCAAGGATGAGTCCCATCTTGTTAAATTATATCATGATAATGGCCTTCATCTTGTTTTCCTCTTTAAATATGATTCCCTGTATATATTAGCCACTTTATCCTCCTTTTTCCTGCTTCTACTTTTCACCTCTCAAAGATCAAGCCCTACTTACCCACCCAGAATTTCAACAGTTCCACAATTTTCAGAATAGAGCAAACTAGAGAAAGGAGCTGAAGCAACTTACACATGGTAAGGCTAGATTTAGCTCCTTTGCCACATAACTAGACTGCAAGCTGAGTGAAACCCCAAGGTCACAGACAAATTGTTTTAACTGGACTGATGCCCCTCCCAACAGGGCAACCAAGGAAATCAGACCCCAGACCATCACTGGGATTCAGGGCATTCAATCTGCTTCCCCTGATCCCGGAGCAAAGTTATGGCTGAGCAATGATATTTGACTCACAATTTTCACTCTTATGCTTCTATTTAGATAATGAGGCTTTGTGCACTAATTATCCATAATATGCCATAATTATCCTTTGAGTTTGTTGTGGGTGGGCTCCTTTTCCCACATGCTTCTTCTAGAAATTTGCTTAGTGCATCGAACTTCTCCTATGACCATGGCACTTTTGCCAGGTCCACGCTCCAGGAAATAAACCGTGACCATAAATTCTCATTCCCAGTTAGGGAGATAGTTACTTATTGTTCATATTTCCCGAAAACTACCCCTGGAGTTTGGAAAGTCTTCCAATTGACTTTTCACAGATTATTGGTCCCCAGATGAAGCTTCTTGGCTACCTGATGTTGGTCACATATATGAGAAACAATCTGGGTCTAGACTACTCCAGGAACCCAGTACCGTCCACTGTCAGCCACACCTGCCCTACTTACTCAGCCCAACCTGAGTGGTGTCCAGCACAGGCTCCAATCCTGTTCTGTTTTCTCTTTTTTTTTTTTTTTGTCACTAAGTAGTCATGTTCTATCAATTCATTCTGAGATGTGATAGACATTATCTATAAATTTTCCTTTCCCTGGCATAGAATTTCAGATACATACAATACCTCTTAATTGTAGAAGATATAAAAGAGCCCAAAATGGCATCCACATGCTTTCATTCTTCAGACTCACCATAAAGGAGACTAATTTTATAAACTATTGTACAGTATTTGCAAAACAGTTTATTTAAAATTTATTTAAATTTGTCTTCTACTCTCATGCCATCTGAAAAATAATTCAGTTTCTTATCTCTTCTACTGAATAGTCTATTGATTAATCAAAAATTATATTATAGTGTCAGCAAAGATATGAAAAGATTGGAACCTTAATCCACTGCTGGTTGGAATGTAAAATGATACAGCTAAGTTGAAAAATAGTTTGGTAGTACCTCAAAAATTTAAACCTAGGCTTACCATCTGACCCATCAACTCCTAGAAATCCTATGTTTACACAAAAATGTGTAGGTAAATGTTCACAGTAGCATTATTCATAACAAACAAAATGTGGAAATAATTCTAATGTCTATCAAATGGTGAATGGAGAAATAATAAGCACACAATAAAATATTAAGTCCTAAAAAAGGAAAAATACTGATACATGGACAAATCTTGAAAGTATCACCAGTACAAAAGATCCCATTGTGTGATTGTGTGTGTATGAAATGTTCTGAATAGATACCTGCACACAGACAGAACATAGATCAGTGATTCCCCAGACAGGGTAGTGAGGGGAAAATGGCTGATTGCTAAGGGATACAAGTTTTCTTTTTGTCTCGATAAAAATATTCTATGACCACATAGTAGTAAGGATTTACAACCTTGTAAATATAATAAAATTGTGAAATTCATACACTATAAAGGTAAATTTTATAATATGTGAATTATATCTCAAAAGAAAAAATGAAGATCCAGCGTGAAACATATAATGAATGAAATATTTGGCAATGTCATAAAAATTTACCAGATTAGATAATTAGAAAAAATTAGATACAAATTGAGTCTCAAAGCTTTAAATCAGATTGTATTAGACTTCTCTAATATTTTTTATCTCTTTAGTCCTCTTATTTCCTAAAGCCTGAAAGTAATTGCAACATCCTACACACTTTTAGGAAATTCTGAACTCCCAGAGATGATAATTTATTATTTGAAAGAAAATTGTGATTCCATTTATTCCTATTATAATGTATCTTGTTGATTTTGTATTATTGTTTCAATCTATGGGGAAACGTATCTAAATTTAATTCTCAGGAAAAGATGTATAAAAATGTGACAAATTCTCTTCAAATCGTAGATAACTTGACACATGCATATGTAAGTGCTCATTGGCATACATTTAGAGGCACAACAGATTATATCCATAGGAAGGTTTCATGAAATCATAATGAATTGCAATTCAGGGTACAGGGAATCTGTCTATTGCAATGTTAACATTTAGTATGCATTTTTTATAAAGTGACTTTATCCTAGCTATTAATTAAAGATGATGATTAGGCCAAATAACCTGCAATGAGGTGAGGATTCTGGATTCTGACCATGTCTCTGACCTCCCTACCCCTCAGTTATTCTCTCCAGCCACACACTGACCTTCTGGTTCAACTTGTGGTAACTAAGTATTTACTGACTCGGAGACTTTGCATTTAATCTTTACACACAGAGAGAGACACACACACACACACACATTCACACACCTGGAAAGTTCTTTGTCTAAAACTATTTTTTGAATGTTTCTTTGTGCCATTAACATGTGTACTCAGAGGCCTTTCTAAACCATCCTAACTAAATCTCAGCTCCTCACCATCCCAACCCCACCTCATCCCTTTGCTATACCCAATTCTGCTATATTTTTTCACTGAACTTGCCATTACCTGAAGTTATTTTTAACTTATTTGTTTCAATATTATCTTTCACTCTTACTAGAATATATGAGTTCCACCAAGAGAAGGGGAAGGGCTTTGCCTCCTCACCTCTCAATCAAGCACTGAGAACAGGGCTGTCTCCTCTTAGTCCTCAGTGTGCGTGCACTAATTCAAGGAACTCACTTTTTATTCCACAAAATAGGCTAAAGTTGTATATTTTGTTTTTAATTTTCTGTCAATGTGTATTTATTATGTGTTATCAATTGTCAGTTATTTCCACTCTGAAGGGACAAGAAGAAGTAACATATGTAGGATAAGATTCAAAAGATTTGTGACACTTGCACTTCAAAACTATTAACTCCAGCATTGGTTACTGAGAGCCATTGTGTAGTCCTTATCTGAACAGATGTTTATCTGTAGATCAGAAGTGTACCTGTCCTCCTCTCTGTAGTGGAGAAAAGGATGTGCTTCAAATCCTGTGGCATGCTATTAATCAGGCATGTGTATTTTGATTCTCCCATAACTTAATGTGACAGTGGCAATGAAGCTATTAAACACAAAATAGCGTTTGATCATTTCAAATAAGGGTAATTCAAAACAGACTTTATTAAAACATTCTATTATTCTTATGACTTTCCATAATGCAGAAATATCAAAATGCTAATTAGAATTCCTGTTTTCATATTGTTTGGTTGCC